TGATGAAACTTAATAAAAAAATATGTTAAACCACATTTTAATTTTTAATCTGATTTTCTAACTTTTTATAAGACAATTTTATTGATTGCACCATTCAACCTACACGGAACACTGTACAATCAAAATTGTCAGGTGCGCAGCTAACTTTACTATATGACGAACCTCCACTATATGTCTATTTAGTTTGAACTGAATGGTAGAGAAAAGAAAATACTGTTCAAAAAAGACATTTAGATTAAAAAATTATTTTCAAAAAAATATTGATAACAAATGTCCAGTTCTACAATCTCATGATGAATATTTTACCCAATCACCATTTCCTACAATATCAATCAATTTGTATGAATATGTTTGATTATATGTGAACACATATTTAAGATTTTTGTACTATTATATCATATCGTGGTACATTGTACAATGCAATTGTGTTCCATAATCAATAGATTGATAGGTCTTGCTAACGTAAAGGCATATAAACATTTAACACATATTTTCGAAGGTACTTATTTAGTTTGTGAATAGTCTTGGCCTCCATGCTCCAGGAATTGGCTCAGTCCTGCAGCCTTTTGTGTTACCAGTTTCTGAAATAAACAGCCCAGCTTTTATAGCCACACTGTTTCTATTATTATTATTATTAATATTATTATTTCCACTGTAGGTACTCTGCATAGCAAATTGATCCTTTTGCAAAGCCCTTGGCATAACTTGTACACAAAGGTCTGTGAAGGTTCTCATTCATCCAGGTCATGGTATATCTGTTAAAAAATAAGTCAAGGCAACTGGACTTGCTGTATTTTTTCCCTTGAAGATGTTCTGAGAAAGCTGGTTGGATGTCCAGTGAAACGTCTTCAAGGAAATTAATTCAGCAAGTCCAGTTGCCTTGACTTATTTTTTACAGATAGTACACAAAGGGTTCATCTCCCCGCTCTTTCTGCTGATGGGACACTGTCACGTGGGGTGGGGCGAGAGTTCTTATCCCTGTGTAAGCTTCAGCAAAGCATCTTGAGGTGTATCTTTTTCTTACCAGCATGGGTTCACTTTAAGCTAAGCTAAGCTAGTTGCTAGATAGTGTCTGCCGCAAAAACTAGACTGGTTTAAAAACAGTCCTGAAGTAAGTGGACAACCCTCCAGGTGATTGAGTTCCAGTACACAAAGCCAGATCCATAAAGACATACTGTAGTTTGATGAGTTTGGTGTGGAGGAACTCATGTGTCCTACACACAGCCCTGACCTCAACCCTAATAACACCTTTGGAAGGAAGTGGAACATCCATTAGGAGTCAGGTTTGCTCATCCAGCATCAGCATCTAGCTCCACAAATGCTCTTTCAGCTGAATGGGCACACATTCCCACAGACTTACACCAAAGTCTCCCAAAGTTCCCAGAAGACTGGAGGCTGCAATAGCTGCAAAGGTAGGTAGTCCATATTAATGACTATGGTTTTGGAATGGTATTGTTATAATTACACTCTCTCATCGCTTCGACCAGAATGTGAGCTGCTAGACAATCAGCTTCAGCATGCGCAGAGATTTTCCAGCTCTGGGACAACAACATAAGTACCAGCAGAATGAAAATAATTGTCCTTGGGGCAGATTAACTGAGTAGTTAACCGTTTACACAGATACATGGCAGCCACTACCAATTTCTCTACCATGGAAACATGTATTATTCACAGCATCTGCAATTCTGTCCTTAAAAGAAAATCTCTGGTTCACTTGCTGCCCTGCCCAGACAGGAATGTAACAGAGTTTCACAACATGGTAGCTTATTTAAAGCGGCAAAAGTTCCTCAATTTCTATGTAGAGCATGCAAATCCTTTGGCTCAACTGTGGGTTTCTCTTTAGATTGAACTTTTTTTTCCAACCTGAGTAACTATGTAACTATGGAGATTCAGATTAATGACAATACAATATCTTTTTAATAAAACGAAATAAAAATGGTGTAAGAAGATATTTACAGAAAATATATTATGAAGCAGAGAATAAGCAACAGTAAAACAAAAGGGATTTAAAGTGAAAAAATACTTTAGTAAAGACCTCCTTTTGGTTCTGTGAAGTGTCTACTTCTCTTGCAGAGTAAGTCCAATGTCTTATATCAGAATCACTGGTCCCTTAGAAAAGTGACTCACAGTAACCTTGGTAATTTCAATGTCAAACCAGAGCTCCAAAGCTGTAAATGCAACCATATGTTGGTCCCTGAAGAGGGCCTTACATAATTACCACACTCAATTAACGTGTCAGAGGCAGGTGTTGAAGGGACTGTCGAGTATTTTATTTTGCTCCATGGGACAAACGCTTACTGCCAACTATGCTAAATACATCCACAATTCCATCTCAAAAGTTTTCACAATCCAATACACCAACATATTATTGCACTGAATTCGATTATGATTCATTAGAGACCAAATATGATGTCAGTCGGATGGCTCCCGGGTGGTCTAATATAACTTAAAAGTCTTACGGCCATTGTAATATGGGTATGGTGTGTTTGGTGTCTAACTGATTGGCTTTTGCCCATACAATATGAGTAACTAATTTTTTTTTTTGGAAGTGTTTATGGTGGATTTGAGATTGACATTTATGACAAGCCTCATAAGGAATCTATTTCAGACCCTAGCTAGTAGGATTCAATGATTTCTCTGCATTTTGTTAAATGTATCTTAAGAACATCAAAGCACATTTTATTACATGTGTCACCTTTCATGAATGCCTAGCACAGACATTTACGGAGATTGAGATCTGAACGTGTTTGTTACCAACTTGTGACAGTGCCATCCTCAGGGGAAACTGAGGATGGCACTGTGTTCAGTATGACTCCCCAATTCTTTATACACAATATGGGGTTTGTCAGATTATTGTTATTATTGTCACAGGGAGGTCCAGCAAGATAATTTAGGTGTCGGGGACAGGTGCCCACAAACGTTTGGCCATATAGTGTACTTCACCATGTATAGGGGTTAGGGATGAGCCGAACACCCCCGTGTTCGGTTCTAATCCAAACTTTCGAACATGGAAAAAGTTCTAATTCGAACTTAGAACTCAATGTCAACTTTTTTGGTAAAATATAAAAGACGGGGTCACGTCGGGTAAATAGACACCAAACATGCCAAGCTTAAAAATTGCACGCACTCGCTAAATCGCCAAAAACTAGCATACCCAAAATTGGCCATAGGCGACACTTAAAAAGCTTTTACCGCTCATCAGTTTAGTGTTATCAGTGATTGATGGCCCTAGAATTATTGCTCTCACTGCGACGTTCGCGGCGATATGTAACATGTGCGGCGTAATGGGCGCAATCGTCGTTTTTGCAGGTATGTGCACCTGATGCATGTTTACATGCGTGTATGTAAGGGTGGGGACTTTTTTTAAAAATTGTTTTTTTTTATTCTTTTTTAGGTGTAACTTTAAAAAAAATTTGGGGAAACTTTACATTTTTTTCCTATTTTTTTTTCCACCTAACTTTATTGATATCACAGAGGGGGGCTAAGAAACCCCTATATGTGATAGCAAAAGAAGTGACAGGTCCTCTTTATGGAGACATCAGGGGTCTCCAAGACCCCTAATGTCACCTAGGACCCCCCACTGAGTGAGCTGATCCGTTTGAAGCAGCTCAGTGTGACGTGTCGCAGAGACTCTAGCAGGTCTTGCAACATGATCCTAGAGCAGGGGTCAGCAACCTTAAACACTCAAAGAGCCATTTGGACCCGTTTCCCACAGAAAAGAAAACACCGGGAGCCACAAAACCCTTTGACATCTAAAATGAAGATAACACTGCATATATCATTTTTTACCTTTATGCTATGTTTAGCATGTATATAGGTATATGTGGGCTTAGTAACGCACTGGACTCAGGGCTTAGTAACGCACTGTACTAAGGGCTTAGTAACGCACTGGACTCAGGGCTCAGTAACGCACTGGACTCAGGGCTTAGTAACGCACTGGACTCAGGGCTTACCGAAACCCCGCAGAGCCTACCTGAAAGTGACCCTGCAGAGCACACCATAGACCCAGCCCATCTGAGACTCTCTATGGTGGGCTCTGCAGGGCCTCAGGTGGGCTGGTCGCCAGGGTCCCTTCTCTTGTAACTCCTCCCAACTCCTCTTACCTGCTGCTGCTGGGGCTTGGCCTCCTCCACCCCCTCCCCTGTCACCTCTGTCATGCCGCCCCTGGTACAGCTGATACTCATTTAAGAGGCCCCCCAGGCTGCCCAGACTCCTCTCATGGGTACCGGCCCTACCCCCCTGATGGCGGTGTTCTATCAAAGTTTGTGACTACGTTACAATGTGTGACTGGTGACATGGTCACACATTTCAATTTAATCATGCCCAGTTTTTTTGGCGGTGGAATGTGTGACCACCAATAGCTCAAGCATTTCAACACATTGTCAGCTGTTCCAGGAGAACTGATCTGCCCTGGAACAGCTGTTCGGTCCTGAAATGTCACTTCTATCCGACTTTGTGAGTGCGATCTCACATTCCACCCCACTCATAAAGTCCGAGAAAAGTGACATTTCAGGACCGAACAGCTGTTCCAGGGCAGATCAGTTCTGCACATACCATCTGCGATGCCGATCTCCCCTGGACAGGGAGCCGCAGAAGGGGGATGAAAGAGCCACATGTGGCTCCGGTGCCGCAGGTTGCTGACCCCTGTCCTAATATGAAAGCCAGGCTTCTGCCAGCCCCTCCCCTTCCAGCCCACCACTGCAACCAATCACATCTTTGAGTCACAGTACACGGAGTCTAAGAATCGAATGAGTCTACTGGTTAAAATAATCAAATGATTCTACTTAGTTAGTAGACTCATTTGATTCTTTGAGTTAAAGAATCCTTAGTCATCAGAGGAGTTACTAGTCCCCACCAGTAGAACAATTCACTGACTCAATGAGCAGGTCGCAGCAGTGATAAGGGGCAGTCAGCAGGGAGATTTACACATTTACAAAAAAATAAAAAATACAATTTTTAAAACAATTTTTGGTTTAAGTTTTTATTTATTTTATTATTTTTCACTTACATTTATTAATAGCGTTCATATCAATGTTCCCCAGGAGCTGCCTGACACCCTTCTTTGAATCAGAGTCCTCTGATTCGGATCTGAAGGTTCAGACAGCTCCTGAGCTTCGGTTCACTTGCTTGTCAGCCGACTCAGCAAGTGAATCGAAGATTCGGTTCATGAATCGGTTCTTTTGAATGAACTGATTCAAATGAACCGATTAATTTAAAAGATCCGAACTTCCCATCTCTACTACATAGAGCCGCGGTGTCAGCAGCCTTATATAGTGTGCTGCAGGGACTTAGCTGTGAGACATGATTGGGCAGAGTCATCATGACTTTGCCCAATCATGGCTCTAAATGTGTACTGAGCCCTGATTGGCACAGTCTGCAAGACTGTAGCCAATTACAGTTTTGGAGGGCGCAGTGCATTGTGGGATGTTCCGCGGTCGAACAGACCGCTAACATCCCGCAATGTTTGACGTTCAGCGAACGCTAGAACAGGTTATGTTAGTTTGAGTCTAACCTATGTTCGATTCGAACATGCAGCCCATCACTAATAGGGTATATGGTGGGTGGATAGGAAAAATAGGCAGATCCCCATTTCCTTCATGTGACAACAATTCCCATTACCAGTGTTGGGCTCTGTTGTATGTATTGGGGGTGAGGGGAGGCTCCTAATCCTACACATATACTAAGTTTCAGAACTATGTGCATGGTAGTTTAAATGTTTAACTCTGAAAACTAAAAAATGAAGAATTTTGACTGGCGTTACGCTTTAATGTGCTTAAAGCTGCATTGAACATCTCTTGTGTTATGATGAAGCAAAATATATTCCCAAATCTACAGTAATAAATAAGGGTCATAGACATCATTTATTTGCTAATTACCATTACTTCAGGCCATGTGCACATCCTGAACTGTTGGTCTATGGAACAGATAAGGCACTCATAGAGAGAAACACCTATTTACTGTATACTGTAAGTCTTCTGCAAGAAACACAAGTTCTACAGCTAGATTCAAATATGTGGTCATTTATTGATTTATTCATCAGTGCCAGTGTTACAAACAAACTGGAGTTTTACAGTAGATACTGAGTGACATAAACATGGCGTACAGCTTCCATGACAAAAAGGATAATAATAGAAGACACAAGACATAATCAAGTGTAAAACTAAGGTTGTTGTATTTACAACAGTGATCATTAGTAGCAAATATAGTATAAGTAATGTTTATTCAGTATGGGCGAAGTACAAGCTCACTATAAAGTGGAATTCCAGCTTGCCCACCCCCTACCACCACCACAACTAATTTTCTTTTTATGGTGCTTCTCCCTCTCTTGGTTTGAGCTCTTCTGCACAGGGACTTCAAGAGGTTGATACCAAGTCAAATTCACCTACTGGGAACAGCTTGTGGACAAAAAGACTGCAGTATACTATTATGATTTGACACCAGCAACTATACCAGCTTTAAAATTTCATATAAAAGTACAGTAAACCTTTAAAGAGAACCAGTGCTGATTGGGCTTATGCATGTTAATGAATCGTACATGTACAGACATACCCATGACCACACACTGATAAAACATGTCACCACTTGGGTGGGTATAATCTTATCACCGAACAGAGCCTCTCCTGATTCAACTCTTCTTTTTTTTTTTGATGGAGTGGGGAAGAGTTAAAATTTCTGCCTGTGACACCACTGGGCAAACTTTTTTTCACTTCCTGTCAATGTGGCACCATGATGGGAAATGGAGATACATAGGACACAGAGGCAGGAATGAGGAAGGCACAGACAGCAATAAAAACATTGTCAATAGTGCTATGTCTTATGTCTATATATATATATACTTTTAAAACAATTTTTTTAATGTATTTATTTATTTGCCTGCATCCCCATTGTACAGATTTACTGTCAATTTCTGTTTACACTTGAAGTGAGGGGAAATTTCTACAGTAGGGACTCTGGAAATAAAACCAAATAGAGGATCTAATCCCTCCATGCTCTCCAACATAAAAAAATTTAAAAGCTGGAAATCAAAAAGAAGGAGAAAGGGCAATGGGGCTCTGTGTTTGATGCTTTTATGGTCACTTAGGAGCTGGAAGGCAAAAATGGTTTGGTGTGACCCATGGTTCTCAGCCATGCAGGTTGAGGGTCTCCTGGATTCTTGTTTCATATGAAAGAAAATTGATTTTCAGATTACTCAGGGATTTATGAATTCTGGATTGACTCTTGGAGCTCAGAGGCTTTGTGGAGTCTTGGGTGGGATGAAGCCTTCAGCCCAAGGTTCACACTTTTCCTACAATCAGCACTCTGATTGGGCAGATACCCACAACACATTACATTTTTTACAGTAAAGACTGTGCAATCATAATAATTAAAATCTGAATGGCCCCTTCAAGAACAAACCTAGTTTTGGCTCGTTTGTGTTAAAATAGAACTACATGTAACTCATTTAAAAAAAAAATTTGAATAGAGTGGAGAGGCATTAGAACCACTGTCAGGTTTTGTTGCTGCCTGTGTTCTCATTAAAGATATTCACTCTCTCCCATTATCCTGATGTGATGGCTAAATCCAAAATGTTAAGTTGCCACCAGAACAGCAATAGAGGGGGGCACCTTTCAATCGAGAAATTTGTTCCTCTGACAAGTAAGACTGGATTTCCCTGACATTGTACATATATCCTTCTTCCAGTGGAGTCTAGGGGACCTGATGTGAAGGGAAATCTGCCTAAGACACAAATGGCAAAAACAAAACTGACAGCGGTTTTACCCAAAAAACTTTTGGCTAAAGATATACTTTGGGCTCCAAGCTTGATATACATGCCACTGCTACCATTAACAGGCCTGGGGAAGATATATTGTTGATGGTACTTACTATAGTACCATAGAACAGTATTTACATATGGTACAATAAGGAGAATTTAGATTTAAGAACTCTGATTTAAAGGCCCAAGTGCTGTAGTCACCATGTGTTAGAAAGCCAATATATAATGTCCACTCTATCGGTTTTAGGTGGACTAACCCTTTGAAAAAAGCCTCAAGTCTACATTACAAAGCCCTGGGCGGCATGTCTTACATACTGTGATTTATTTAGAGCAACAGCAATGTGGCTATTAGCCTCTTTTACGGACAATAAAATAATCTGACAATATACAGTACATGTGAATGAAACATTTAACGTTAAAAAGAGATTGGTGATCAGTACTTGCTGAAGATGACGACAATATGCTCATTGTTGCTGGGTATGTAGCTACTGACACCTACAGAAAGAAAAGGTGAATGTGGTAAAGTAAGTTGAACAAGTTAATTGTGTAATCTTTAAAGGATAACTGCGTTAAAAGTACCCCACAGCACCCCCACACCAAAACATATGTCTATCTTTACCCCTCCTCCACACTTACTTGGAGCTAAACAGCCTATTCTCTGAAAGTCTCCCAGCTCTGCTTCTTCCTTGAATTACCATTAATTTCTATGGAGATAGACAACCTTTTCATAGGAATTACTGTGTGACTCCCATTGAGCCATTGGTGACGAGGAAGCATGGAGCCGGCTTCCCAGCCATGTAATGACTAGCTGCCCGGCTTCCTGATTGGTCAAGAAGCTGGCCAGTCAGGAAGCCAGGCGGCGAGTCATTACCCGCCCACCGGCTTCCTGACTGGCCAGAAAGCCGGCTCCATGCTTTCTCGTCACCTGGTGATGAGGAAGCATGGAGACGCATGGAGACGGCTTCCCTGCTAAATCGGGAAGCCAGGTGGCGAGTCTTTACACACTGACTGGCTTCCTTAATGGGACTACCGGTATCGCATTCGGTATCGGCAAGTACTGAAACAAAAATATCAGTACAGTACTTGTACTCGGAATCGGTGCATCCCTAATTTTTAGTCATCTGAATTCTTTTAGTTTTAGTTTTGTCAACTAAATCTCTAGTAGAGAAAATTGCAATGTATTTTCGTCATAGTTTTAGTCCTATTAACTTAGTTACTTTTAGTTTTCATCAGTGACAAACATGTGGATGACGAAAATTATGACAAAACATTTTAGTTGATTAAATTAACACTGGGTACAAGGGAGAGGTAGGTAATCAATTTTGATTAAACTGATTTTGTTGCAAAGTTACTGATTTCACTGTCAGCAAAATTTTGCCGAAGTGTAAACTCTCAATTTTGCTTAAAGGAGAACTATGGGGTTAACACTTTTCCCCATAGTTCTCCTTAGGGTAACGGGAGGACACAAACTAGCGTCCTCCCATCACCCTAGGCTCAGTATACCGCGAGCTACAGCTCGCGGTATACTGAGACGCTGCAGCCGGAGCGGGTCCCGACATCGATGTCTGGATCCTCCCAGCTGCTTGAGTGACAGCTGGCTCTGACTATCTAGAGGCAGAGCCAGCTGTACCCGCCCCCCCCCCCACCTTTAATGAGCTTCTAAGGTAAAATTTTCTTTAAAAAATATCTATTCTATATTTTCTCATTCTTCATCATTTTTTTTATTTTTTTTTAACTTAGGGTAGATTAGTACTAAAAAAAATTACAGTGATGATACACAAATAATGATTAGAAAAAAACCACACAAGTTTAAAGAACATTAAAGGAAATAAACTTAATTTCTTTTAATGTTTCTTTGTATTTGTGTTTTTTCCTTTTTCTAATTTTTTTATCATTATCTGTGTATCATCACTTTAATTATTTTAAGTTAATAAGGGGCCATTTTTTGTGGCATAGGAACAGATCTCAGAGACATTTTAAGTCCATTACATTCTTGAAAACCAAAATCCAACTTAATTTTACGTTCCCCCTTAACTCCAATGCATTTTGCTAAAATGGCGAAATTTCACCAAAATCTCTGTTCCTCCCTGAAATTTCAAGGAAATGAAAACCTCTCATCATTTTCTCATTTCCAGAAATCTGCCCTTCTAGTCAGACTCATAATGTAGGACGGCACACCCAAGTCTACTGAGTACTCACCTACTTCCAATGGACTTATACCACTGAAGAATTGCCAGTATGTTTTATCATTAGAGTTTCCAGCAAGGTGGTTAATGGATGTAATAAAAACTCCCCAAGAGGAAGTTTGTGTCGTAAAGCTGAGGTATAGTAAGGCAGAAAAAGGAGAAGAGTTAGGAGATGCAACATTTTTATATAATTACATACTTCAGTAAAAAAAAAAAAATGACACATTTCCTTCTAGTTCAACCAAAAAAAAAGAAAGAAAAAAAAACATTCTCACAGTGCTAAACTATCCCTTCATGCAGAGGAAGTCAGACAACCATTATAATGCTTAGTCCAGTTTGTTTTAACAGTTAAGAAAAATCCTTTCCAGTCTCCAAACGCAACCAGATACTCCTTGGATCAACAATCTACGGTACAATGCTATTTCTTATAGCCAACTCTATTTTGTGATTGAAGAAACACATCTCGCTCCCCTGGAAGTTTATTTTACATTTTGAAAGCTCTCACCGTAAAGAAGCATTTCTGCATGTTGTGGGGAAACCTCTTTTTTTCCATGCACCAAAAATTGTCTTGTGTTTTTTTGCGGTAACCTTAACTGGACAACTTCACAAAATTTACTATATGGACCATTGACACTATATTGCTAAAAGTATTGGGAAACCCCTCCTAATCATTGCATTCAGGTGTTCCATTAAATTCCTTGCTACTATATATTCCACGGTCAACTGTTAGTGGTATTATAACAAAGTGGAAGAAACTGGGAACAACAGCAACTCAGCCACGAAGTGGTAGGCCACTTAAAATGACAGAGAGAGGTCAGCGCAGGCAGAAGTGCACAGTGCGCAGAAGTCGCTAACTGTCTGCAGAGTCAATAGCTACAGACCTACAAACTTCATGTGGCCTTCAGATTGGCACAACAGTGCGTGGAGAGCTTCATGGAATGGGTTTCTATGGCTGAGCAGCTGCATCTAAGCCTTACATCACCAAGTGCAATGTAAAGCGTCGAATGCAGTGGTTTAATGCATGCCGCCACTGGACTCTAGAGAAGTGGAGACATGTTCTCTGCAGTGACGAATCACGCTTCCCTGCCTGGCAATCCGATGGACGTGTCTGGGTTTGGCGGTTGCCATGAGAACGAGCGAGTTTGGGGGTGGAGGAACTTGACTGGCCTGCACAGAGTCCTGACCTCAACCCGATAGAACACCTTTTGGGATGAATTGGAGCGGAGACTGCGAGCACAGCCTTCTCGTCCCACATCAGTACCTGACCTCACAAATGCGCTTCTGGAAGAATGGTCAAACATTCCCATAGACATACTCCTAAACCTTGTTCACAGCCTTCCCAGAAGAGTTAAGGCTGTTATAGCTGCAAAGGGTGAGCCAACTAATTACTGATCCCTATGGACTAAGACTGGGGTGCCATTAAAGTTCATGTGCGTGTAAAGGCAGGCGTCCCAATACTTTTGGCAATATAGTGTATGTATCTATAGCAACAAACAAATTGGTACAACAAACGGCGAAAGCGCACTGACAGCTGAGTAAAAACCTTAAAGAGGGTACATATGGGCAAAGAGATTCAGTATGCAAGCTCTAACTGAACAGGGAGAGGAGCCCTGTGAATACACGAACAAAATCACACAATGAAAGAGCGCTACTACTGTGGAGAAGACTCCCGTTTCAGTTGTCAGCATGTCGCATGTGAGCTGGGCAAATGATCTTACGATGCCGGGAGTGTTCGCAGGCAAACAGTCTGAAAGCTGTGATGGATGGTCGTTAACAACGCGGACTCAGCTGGCCAGGCTAAGCCGCGGTGCCAGGGGTAGGAGGAGGTGCCAGGGGTAGGAGGCGGTGTCAGTGCCGGACCGTTCAGGGACCTCGAGGGTCTAGGCTTGAAAAAGGGCAGAGCCTCGAAACGCGTAGCCGCCGATAGTTGGACACTCTCCTTGTCCTTTCCTCTCATCCTCCCTTGCTTGTGACAGTTTGGATACACCGCTAGCACAGACCCTCGAGGTCCCTGAACGGTCCGGCACTGACACCGCCTCCTACCCCTGGCACCGCGGCTCAGCCTGGCCAGCTGAGTCCGCGTTGTTAACGACCATCCATCACAGCTTTCAGACTGTTTGCCTGCGAACATTCCCGGCATCGTAAGATCATTTTCCCAGCTCACATGCGACATGCTGACAACTGAAACGTGAGTCTTCTCCACAGTAGTAGCGCTCTTTCATTGTGTGATTTTGTTTATGTATCTATAGGAGGTGATCATATATGGTATAAATGACAACTTCTGAAGGTAAAATAAATACAGGTCAGTTAATCTTTCCACATAGCATAGCCCCTCTATGCCTCTTATTATTACATTTCCCTTCTCAACATGGTAAAGTTCTGCTTAAGTGGGTTGGTGGGTGGGTTTTTAACAGACTATTACTTGGGTTAAAAAAATAAATTCAATAAAAAGTCTCTGCAATAGAAGATGTATTATACTCACCTCTCCTGTGGGCTGTATGTCTACCGATCCTCAATTTCATCTTTGCAGCCTTCATAAGACTCTCCAGTATTTGACAGTTGCAGGAGTTCCGAATTCCTGTGCCCCCAGCTGTGTGCTGTGGTTCCTTTCTCAGTCCCCTACCTCAATGATGGGCCCTGTAGTGTCATAGGTGATGGAGGATGGAACTACAGTGGCAGAGGACACTGGCATCCATTACTCCTGATAGTGTCAAAGGCCAAAGTGCCTTACAGAGTTTTCAGGTCTGAAATTAAGGGGAAGATACGACCTCCAGAGAGTTTAGTATTATACCTCTTCTAATAAAGGGACTTACATAGTATTTGAGGTTGAATAAAGACATTAGTCCATCAAGTCCAACCTATTAGGATCTCATTCTAGGAGTACCCGTACCCCTGTATATTACGGTCCCTTAAGAAATCGTCCAAAAGTTTCTTGAACAATTCCACATTATTTGCTGAAATCACCGCCTGTGGCAGTGAGTTCCAGACCCTAACTGATCTTACTGTGAAGAACCCCCTTCGCCCCTTGTGCTGGAATTTTTTTTCCATCAATTTTAGGTGATGGCCTCTAGTTTTTGTAACGGAGTTAATTTTAAACAGTTTATCGCTAATGTTGCTACCACCATTAAACATTTTGTACATGGAAATCATATCCCCCCTTAATCTCCTCACCTCTAATGTGAACATGTTTAAATTTAGTAGCCTCGTCTCGTAGCTCTGGTCCTCCATACCCCTAATTAGTTTGGTTGCCCTTCGCTGGACTTTTTCCAACTCAAGGACATCTTTTCTTAGTACTGGTGACCAGAACTGGACCGCGTACTCCAGATGAGGTCGAACCAATGATCTATAAAGTGGCAAAATTATAGACTTGTCCCTGCAATACATCCCCTTTTTAATACAGGACAAGACCCTGCTTCTCATCTGGATTTGTTTTTTAACCTGAACGGGTTGCTTTAAAGGTCTGCATGCGCACAATATCGTAAAACAGTAATGAATTCTATTTTTAAAGCTAATGTAACATAGCATAGCAGCCATGGGGCCCTGAGTTCAAGTACCATGAACATACTCTTTGCATAGAGCTGTTCTCCCTGTGTTTTCCTGGCTTTCTGTTGGATGTTTTGATTTGGTCCCACAATGGTTGCTATCTCATTAAAGAGGTCCCCGATTAACTTTCCTGTATGGAAATAAGTCCTGGCAGCCCAAACGTTAGTCACAAAACGGCACTTATTTAAGACATCGCCATAAATCGACATCTACTTGACAATACTAGACAGACACCTTTTAATTTTGGATGTAGTAGGTGAGGGTTAGAATGTCCTTCAGGTTTTTTTGTCTGTTTCACTGCTGGTAAGGCTCATGGTCACTGTTTTTCTTGGTGACCTTCATAGCTGCCCCAGAGCTCATCTCTCCTCCTCAAAGCCGCATAGCCACCCTACCTCTGAGAGCCCTTCAACTCGCATAAAGCCACGTGGAGCCCCTTACTTTAATGCATCCTATAATGTAACCCCCAGCCTTTCACCTCCCCTGCCTCATCCCACTGACAACAACACAGTGGATTTTTTTTTCCATTGGCACTGATGCAGCGCCATTTGTTTCCCTTCCAGTGACACCACTAATGCAGGAGCATTTTTTCAATTTGCTAAAGTGTGCCACAGCCGTTGGCACTATTTCGGAGCATGCCGCCCCCTGCCCCACCCGTATTTTCAGCTCAACCTTTTTAAAAAGTTCCCAGGCATGCTTAAAGTGCACCTGTGCCCAGAATGTAAATAATAGAACTTTAAAACAAGCCCTCATTCACCTCTGTATTCATAAGCATTAGAAAAAAATAATAATTTTCAAACTTCACCACAGAGGCAGGGAAATCTTCTCTGCTTTTTTCTATGAAAGCACATCTTGGCAGGCTGCCAGCCCTCTAAGGTAAATGCAGAGCAGATATTTCTAAGCTGTTAGAAACTACTGAAACCTTTAAATTAAAGGTAAAGTCCACATAAAAAAAAATCCAATATTCATAAATAAAAAAAAATTGCATTTATTATTGCTTGCATTAGATCCAGTAATGCATTGCATCCGTGCTCAGTGGAACGAGGGTGCAATGCTTTAGCTCATGCAGACTCCTCCTCTGAATATGGGTGTAACCTGACACATGGTATAAATGGTAAACTTAGCCTTTAAGAGTCTGTTATATCTTTGAAGAACTTTGGGATTTAGTTTCTTCTTAGTACCAGTGACCAAATATCCGTAGTGTGAGCACAGGTGCCCTTTAAAAGTAATATTTAGTGTGGAGCTAAGCTTCAATGACCTCCAAAACTGTAAGCGTGCCCAGACAGAGGCTATGGCCCGGCGTGCTGATAAACACTCTGAGAACTGTACATGTGTTTCATTATCAAAGGTCAAACAGAAAAATAGTTTTTGTCAATGCTAGGCTTCGAATTCTCACCTGAATTCCTTGGAGTTCACTTCAGCAGCTTTTTCCATGACCTGCAGTAGAGTGGACCCTTCTCTCACCTCTACAATGATGGAATACTTAAAATGGTTCCCTATTAAGTCATTCACAATGGAGAATTCCACCGAGATAGAGCGAACTATGTGTGGAAGTGAAAAACAAAACGGGATAAACATGCATATTGAAGAGGAACACAACTTTAATACCAGTAAGCAAACAAACTGTATGGGAGGGCAACACAAATATTGACAGATTTTTTTTGTAAAAAAATAAATACTTAAAGTGACACTAAACAGGAATTAAATATAAAAAATGCATTCAAGTACCTTAAAGTGACATAAAGTCACAAATCTTTTCCTCCCCCAGCCATGCTGCTTTAAGGACTTACCTTAAATGATGTCTCTTGATCCGATCATCTTCTTCTTTCCACTTGTATTCAGCAATCCCTCCAGCGCTGGTGACGGTCTCTGATCCAGTGTGTCTTCTGTGTACCACAGTGTCTGTCCGATGTGCACGCTCCCAGCTGCGTGCATTGACTTACACTGCGTCTCTACTCCTCTCCCCGCCGAAGATCTCTACTGCGCATGTGCCAGACCCATCATCCAGCTTGGCTGCTGGAGAAGCTCCAGATCTTCAGACGGGAGCAAGGGGCGCTGACAGAGGTAAGTAAATAGCATTTTGGTAACTTTTTTTTTTTTTATGTTTTTACATATATCTACTGCTTGCTAGAGTTTAATTATACTTTAACTATTAACAAAAATGTATCTTATTTGTGCATCACTCGGCTGTAGATCCTCAAATCATCTCTGAATTGGTGCTGACACTGTCCTTCCTTCTGGAGGGTGGCTACTTTTGTTCCCCATGGTGCCTGTGTGTCTTGCAAAGTAGCCACTGCTCCAAGCTCACTCATTTGATGTACTACAATCTCATGTTTAGTTTACTCATTTGTATTGGCATTGTAGTCTATCATGGGAGCAAGCTTGGAACGTTGGCTACTTTGCAAGACACACAGGGATCATGGGGAACAAAAGTAGCCACCCCCCAGAATGAAGGGCAGTGTCAGCATGAATTCAGAGTTGATTTGAGGATGTACAGCTGAGTGATACACAAAGAAGGTCCACAATTGTTAATAGTTAGGGTACTTGAATGCATTTTTAAGGTTTAACTCCTAAGTTTAATGTCACGTTAAAGATGCTTCAATGACCAGTCCACCCAAAGTGATGAGTGGCGCCTGGTGAGTTGAGACACATGCTGGATTGGAGTACTCAAACAGAAAGATCTTCCCACCATAATTCTTGGCTTTGCTACGGTCTAACTGGGATTTGTGGGTGTTCCCACCAACTTTTTGTATTCTAGCTCCTCAGTTTACATTCACCATAGTATCAAATCAATATAAATTGCAGCAGGGGGTCCTTCATAATGGGCATTGCAGGTCTGCAGACCTGGGAATTAACCTTGTCCCCAAGAGATAGAATAGACAGGTGGTTTAATTCTCCAACATGTAGCAAATAATGAAATATGAGTTTTGGGTGGGCTGACCTTTTTCACTGAAGTCATTAACATCTGGTTTCCGGTTTACTGAACCTGATTTGGTAAAATACTTGCAACATACTTAAGTAAAATAAATGTAAAATACTTCTTTGACAATTTCAGCCCCTTAATATTGCACTAATTGATTATGAAAAGTGAATAGATATCCATATCAGAGTTAAAATCTGATATCAGCACTATAAACCAATGTCCATATTTGGCACTCACCATCTTCCTGTGCTCCCGTGCCCTGGAGGCACAATAGGCAAGCAACACAGAGCAGGTACGCTAACATGCTCACTGTTGGGTCCAAATAAAACACCTATGCTTCCAACTCCTCTTTATATACCCACATGACCATCCAGTCCAGATCTCCACCTCTTCAAACCACGAGTGGAACATGTCATATTATCTGAAAGTTTGAAACCTTTATCTTTTGACTCAGCAAACAAAAGGCGCTTGGAGACTAGGTTCTCCCGGAGAGTTATGGCTGTGTACATTACTCTGGCTGACAGACAGACATTCTCTCAGACCAATATTTTAAAAGCTCTACATATTACAAGGTTACCTTCAACACAACATATTGGATACTACTGTTGCCTTTAAATGTATGTCAGGGCAAAATAGTAATAATAATAATAAAAACAGTAATAATAATAATAATAAAAACAGTAGTAATAATAATAAAAATAGTAATAATAAATAAAATATGCAGTACATCCCTGAAATACACACAAGTTTTATCCCTTTAAAAACAATGCAAGAACATACAAATATAATGATCTGCCAGAAATCTAGTGAGCTCCTTCCTGTAGCAAGCTGACAATGCTGCCAGTGCTATACAGAAATCCCAAGCAGCTTTGTCAGCAGTTTATGAGTTCTCTGCTGGACTATATAGTTCCACATACCCCGTCTCTCCCTATCCCTCTCCACGTCTATACATTGAATTTTTTCCTGGTAAAACAATGCTGCTGTTTTGACTCCTAAAACCTGCCAACAGACTTGTCTAAATTTAGGTCATGCATGGAGATCACCTTCAAAGTTCACATATAGCTAAAACTAAATGAATGACTGCCTACCCACTGGCTGTTCCTCACTTTCCTGGACAGCCAGGCTACATGCTCAGATAGGAGACTGCTATAGATTTGTTTTTCTGTATGGGGTCCTCCCCAAAATCCATACCAGACCCCAAGGGTCAAGTTTGGGTTTTGAGGGGGGCCTCACATCTTTTTTTTTGTGAGTTTCCCTTCAAAATTAATACCAGACCCCTATCCAAGCGTGTAACCTGGGTGGTCAGGGTAGGATTTGTCAGCTGAACATGTCCTCCATTGCCACTTCTAAACCACACCTGGTCATATGCCCTGAAGAAGAAATTAAAAACAGCATGGGGTCTCCCCAAAGTCTATACCAGACCCTTATCTTTGATAAAGGTCTGGCATAGATTTTAGAAATGGAGATTAGAATCTTCGTAGAATGGAGGTTCTCCTAAGCATGCTCAGAAAAAAAAGAGACAATGCAGCAGACTTCTTCACCGGTGTCTGTGCAACTCCCTCACTGCAAAGAGGAGAAAGGACATGTATGTATAAAACAGGTGCCCCCATTAGAAGATTCCCCGTTATGCCCTGTAAGAGACAAACATACAAGCAGCCACTCACCACCACCACAACAGGACCACAACAGGACCACAACAGGCCTCTCTTAGTTCTTACATACTTTGCACTTACATCTTTCCAACTAAACATGTCCTGATGGGACATGATACCAACAAAACATAAGATGCCGTAAGAGTCACCAAGAACAATGTATCAACCCTCCAAAGTAAATTCTCAGGGTCTCATTAGCATCTAAATGGAAATTTCTGTAGCTGTGTTTTTTTTTAACACAATAGTAGACAGAGGTCAATAAATAGTGGAGCCACGTAAAGGTAACAAGTGATACAATGGTAACCTGCAGCTTTAGATGAAGCATACTACTGTAAATTTGATGTATGTGATTCTGTGCTTTTGGTTATTAAATGAAATAAATCAGATACCATCATTGTCTGGACATGGCAGACTTTTCACAGAGACATAGCTTTCACCCCAAAGGAAAGGCAGCAGTTGGGCGGCAGCGATGGGCAAGGAGTATGTCTTCTGGGGTATTAGTCCAATCACTTTCTGTATCGTTCTAGGGCAATCCCAGGAGTCCAAGGAGTAATACGCCTGTGTAGCTAATAAAGCCTAAGAAATCATGGAGACACAAGGATTTAAACTACAAGATCCAAACATTTTAAAAGAGGCTGATCTCTACTCCACAAGTCCTAACACTAATGAAAAGCTTAAAGTAGAACAACACCCTTCTATCCCTTACAGCTAAGAAAGGTGCCATCTTAACCTCTATTTGTATTGCAGTTGCCATGATGATGCACATGTGATCAGCTATGAAACCAGCTTGAGGAGTGATGAGGGACGAGGGAGCATGGAGCCGACATCTCGGTCAATCAGGATGCCAGACAGAATGTAATGACTCGCTGCTCAGCTTCCTGATATTGGAAGTTCGGGTATCAGGACAGGCATCGGATCATTTGGGCGAGTACGAGTACTCGCCCAATATTCGGTATCGGCACCGATACCAATACTAGTATTGGTGTAGGTGAATTCCTAGTAAATACTATATAGCATTGTAAGTGTTTTGTTATATGTGTTTAAATGCAAAAAAATAACAGCATGCCAGAAATTCAGAGCTCAACTGCGTCCTGTTTACACTTCCTGAGTTATCTCAGGGAGCCCTCTCAGCTCTTATCTTGAGCTACAGAACAATTACTCTCTATGTTGATAAGATGAGGAGAATGGGATGAATTAAGTAGTTAAACAGGGCAGGGCGGACAATATTGCTTGCTATGAGCATGAAAGGTGATCTATAAATGATAAATGTAGCTCTTTCATTAAAAACAAAACTAACACTTCCCACCACCATTGATGACAATATACAAAAATCTCTAAATATTGCAAATAGATGTTGTTCTGCCCAGCAGTGAAAATTCCAATTCTCTGCCTGCAATATCAAAATCAGCTACAAGATGGAGCTGAAGAGAAACATCTCTATTTACACTAGTTTAGACCAGTGGTTCTCAACCTGTGTAACCTTAGGACCCACATTTGTCCTTGGTCATTAGGTCGCGACCCAAATCACACTGCAATGGAACCCATGTCATTAGAGTACTGTGCGTTCCGGTGAGGGCGTATGAACTGCGGGTGGGAAGTACGTATGGGGTATCATTCAAATGAATGTATTGTAGGTGTGATTGCGTCGTGCTGTTTAAGCACTGTACTAGTGTGAAAGGACCCTCAAAAACACTGACATACATACACAGACACAATCTCACACACTCACAGACATTCTCACACACATAAACACTCCCAAAATTGTTTTAAAGATCCACCCAATCTTCCTACCTTACGAGAACTGGAGTAGATCCCCAGCCTGGGGTCCAGTTTGGGTTGCTGTGATGGAGCTCCATCCATATGTGCATTGTTTGTACAGATCCTTTGCACACCCCATAGAGGTGCTGGGAGCCACAATGTGACATCACTCTGGTCTAGGCACCTTTACAAGGCACATGAGGGAGCTGTAAGCAAGGCAGGTATGGATGGAGCTTCCTCGCGGCCATAGCCCCATCTCATCCCACCTTAAGCTAACACCCAGTGCCGGGCAGCATATTTTGAATGGCTGCTTGACGCGAGAATTGACAGTGCTGTGAAAGGCATGCAGCGACCCACTGAACATGGGGTCGCAACCCACTTTTGAGTCACGACCCACCAATTGAGAGCTATGGGTTTAGACTGTTTTTCTTAAGCAAAACTCCCAGCACTCTTCTGCTCAAAGAGAAGGAAACAAGAGCATTCTGGGAATTCAGCTTCCATTTTAGAACAGAGAAGAGAGTCCACTGCCATCCTAAGCACATGTCTGGAGGAAAGCGCCCAAATGCCTTTAGGCAGCATCACTGGTATGGTATATTTGTGAGCTGACACTATATTTACATGTTTTATATATGGATTGTATGTTTCTATGGTCTTTCACCAGTTTCACCCATCCTGTTTTGTTAATAAAGCATCAAGATTTCACTCAGTCTGGCTTATTGCAGAATAGGAGGGTTTACCTGCATGTCGAGCTACATACAGACCACAGGTAGCGGAGACAGAACAGATGCAATTTGGCATACATTAATAAAGTGCTGCAGAAATCAAAAGTCCATTATATATAGGGACAAGCTTTGGGCTCGGGTCAACAATGAGTTCAATCCAAATCCAAGCTGTTCACAGTTTGTCAGATGGGTGAACGAACTGGCCAGTGATTAAAACAGCCCTCTTATCCCTTACAGCCAAGGGAGGTGCCATCTTAGCCTCTAGCAATATAATAGAAAGTAGAGGGACTCCTGGACTGTGATGCAATGCAAAAATCCTTTAAAGGAGAACTATGTGGTTAACACCTTTCCCCATAGTTCTCCTTAGGGTAACGGGAGGACACAAACTAGCGTCCTCCCGTCACCCTAGGCTCAGTATACCGCAAGCTTGACTAATGTCTGCTTTCCAAGAACTGTAGCATTGTTTCAAGCCGTAAATACATTCAGTGATTGTTTGCAAAGTCCTATTACATCAAGTGGCAGCTTGAATTATAGTCAAGGTGTGAGCATACGTGGAACTTCCTGGGATTTACAACACATTAAAGTTTATGCAAGTATATTCATGCCGGGCAAGTAGAGAAGCATCCTATTCAGGGAGCAGAACTTGCTGCTCCTGCCCTGCACACAGGCTGCTGATCAACGCCCATCTTATAGCATGGTTCACATAATTCCTATGCAATTTCTCAAGTCAGTCTTAGCAACACTAGCTGATTGTCTGTAAGCAAAATCCTTAATCAAGTACCTAGAGCCCCAGCTCATCCATGGAATAGAGAGGTAGAGGCAATGTTCATAGAGTTAAAGAGATCTATGCTACATGTAAGCCCAGCTGTTGGGCAGCAGTGAAGATATCATTCTGCCTGGTAATGAGGAGTAGGAATGGGCTGCATGTTCAAGTCGAACATGGGTTCGATTCGAACAACGCTAGTTTGATCGTTCGCCAAGCGCAAGAACTTTGTGGGATGTTCACGGTATGTTCGACTGCGCAACATCCCAAAAGGCAATGCAGCTTTTGAAGCTCTAATTGGATAAAGGCTTGCACCTGACCACAGGTCAGGTGCAAGACTTTGCCCAGTCAGGGCTGAGTACTCTGTTAGAGCCATGATTGGGCTGAGTACTCTGTTAGAGCCATGATTGGGCAAAGTCATGATGAAAACAATCCTTTCTGAAAGTTCTACACACATTGACTTGCTTTGAGTTCGAGTCCAAATTCAAACTCTTCGGAAGTTCGAATACAAACCGAACTCGGGCCTGTTCGGCCCATCACTAATGAGGAGACCGGATTGACATACAGTCTCACGTGTTTCACCTGTATATCTGCAGACTTTGTAAAGATGTAATCCCAAAGTGCCTCCTAAATCCTTTAAAACACCTGCCTATTGCCTAATCAATACTCTTGTAAAGAAAAATGCCTGCATGCCTGTCTGTGTGCTTCAGCAAAGTTTAACTACTATTTTGAGTACATTCAGATCATTCATACAAAGGACTAACAAGTGAAGGAAGAGAAACACTCCAGGATTTAACGAGTCATAACATTAAAATTAAAAGGCAAGTGTGTAAAACGTACATGGCAGACTCAAAGAAAATGATTTGTAACTAAGTGGCAGACTAAATGTATTGCACATGGAATATGTGTTATAGAGCTGATAGTGGAGGAGGAGAAAATACAACTTAAAGGGGTTCTAAACCCTCTGATTTTTTTGCCTATATCTACTGCTAGCAAGCAGTAGGTATACAGTAGGCAAAACGTTTAAAAAAAAAAAAACCCGCTTTAACAGCGGTTTAAACTTACCCTGTTTTCGCCGCGTGCTCCCGCCCGAGAATCCGAAACTGCTCAGGCGGCTGCAAAGCATCTTGGGGTGGGCGCATGCGCAGTTCAGATTTTCGGCCGGGAGACGAGCAGAGACACAAGGTAAGTCTATGGACGCAGGCACCCGCATGCAGACACCGTGGGACAAGAAGTGCCAGCAAGCAGAGAGGAGTCAGCGCTAGATAGGACAGCCGACGCACCGCTGGAGGGACAGATGAAAACATCAGGAAAGAAGAGGAAGATCGGATTAAGAAACCTCATTTAAGGTAAGTTCTGACATTAACATTGGGGGAGGGAAAAAAAATGTTTGACTTTAATGTCACTTTAATGAGTTAGAAAAAGAAATAGGTTTTGGGAGAGGTGACATTTCCTATGCTCCTGTAGGACGAGTGATGAGTGAAGGGCCGATGACATAGTTCCGGCGCAACATCCGTGCACGAGACTCGCCGCAACGCTATGGGAGAAGCCTCACAGCTCCGCGCTCCTCATAGCTAAACAGTAGAAAAGCATCATGGCACACTCACAAACCAGCATGTAAAACAACTTGTCTCACCACTAAGGATAATAACAGAGGTTTGGATACACGTCTTCTGCAGAGGATGTGAAAGCCGCACTGCCCCGCCAAGGCACTGGTGACAAATTGTTGAGTGCGTTGTCGTTTGTTTTGCTTGACCTCATAGCTAAACGCCGCATATTAAGCCGACTACAAGCCGACCCCAAGGCACAGATTACTGGACCCCTGGATCTTACTTCTCTCGGTCTTTTTCATATGATCTCCTTGCAGCGTGCAGGCTACCGGGCTCCTTTCAGTCCACCATCGACCGCAGCATACATCCAGCATCCCAGCAACCAGCAAATCTGAAAAACGACTGTGGATTGCAGATGGGGGGCAACAGCAAGAAGAAGGACAAACAGACCTCGCAGAAACCAATTACTACAACCCGGACCTCCCGGAACCCCCCTACAACATCAACGATTGGGACATATTTCCCAGGTACAAGGTCGAGACTATCTGTGGGGGGGAGTACTGGGGGTTCAGTGCCGGCCTCTCCTGTGGGGATAGGCCGGGAGCATGGTAGTAATGGTGCCCGGGGTGGTGTGCAGGAAGAAGCTGAGCACCATATGGGTTCCCCTATGATGCACCACCAGGCAGGTGCAAAGACACCCCAAAGTGGGCGAGAGGAGTCATTTGGGGGCCCGGTGCAGCACAAACCTAGCCTAAAGACTAGGGATGCACCGATACCACTTTT